GGCTCACAAGTGGACCATCTTTGTCGACGACGCCTCGGGCTCGTCAAGAAGTGGAGCGGGGGTCATCTTGGAAAACAAAGAGGGTACAGTGGTGTAAGTATCCCTTTCCTTGGCCTTCTCGACAATAAAAAATCAGACCGAGTACGAGGCATTCTTGGTCGAACTCCGCCTGGTGGAAGACCTCGGAGCCAAAGAGATAAAAAATGTCACGGACTCCCAGTTGGTCGCCTCCCAGGTCCAGGGTGAGTATCAAGCCAAGAATGACAACTTGGATGAGTACCTAGTCCTTATAAGGGAGCGGATGAAGAGCTTTGACTCCATCGAAGTGCAACACGTTCCCCGCGAGCATAATACCCGAGCATATGTCCTCTCGAAACTGGCGAGCATGAAGAAGAATGGCGGGATCGTCCAGGAAGTCCTCTCTCGGCCAAGCACAGAGAAGGTGAAAGTGATGCTCGAGGTCAAAACCATTGGGGGGACAACGACAGCTGGATGACCCTGGTACACACCTACCTTAGCACGGGACGCCTCCTCGACGACGCGAAGGAGGCCAACATGGTCAAACGTCGAGCTTGTTCTTACATACTGCTCGAGGACAAGTTATACTGGAGAGGCTTCTCGATTCCCCTCCTCAAATGCGTTGATAAAGCCCAGGCCCCGAGCATCTTGCAAGAGATCCACGAGGGCGTCAATGCACAACACTTAGGGGGAGGTCTCTAGCCCGGAAGGCATTACGAGCAGGGTACTATTGGTCGACGATGCAGTAGGACGCTAAGGAGCATGTGAAGAAGTGTGACAGGTGCCAACGACATAGAGATATGCACCTCTCCCCTCCGAGCGAGCTCAAGTCGCTCTCTTCCCCATGGTTATTCGCCTGGTGGGGGATGGATATCCTCGGCCCATTCACCATGGGCTCATATCAGAATAAGTATCTGATAGTCGGCGTCAACTATTTTACCAAATGGATCAAAGTCGAGGCCCTCGCCAAAATCACAGCACACAATATACTCTGCTTCTACAAGAGGAACATCATCGCTCAGTTCGGTGTTCCCTTGGCCATCGTGACCGACAATGGGACGCAGTTCACTGACAAAAATTTCCAAGACTTTGTGACAAACTCGGAACAAAGCAGCACTTTACGTCAGTCGAGCACCCGCAAATGAACGACCTGGCGGAGGTCGCAAATAGGGTTATCATGCGGGGTCTAAAACAACGGCTCGGGGACGCCAATAAGAGATGGGTCGAGGAGCTCCACAACGTATTCTGGGCTTACAGAACGAAGCCCCACTCGACCATCGGGGAGACCGCTTTCCGATAACCTACGGAACCGAAGCAGTGATCCTGGTAGAAATAAGGGAGCCGTCCAGAAGAACTGAATCCCCCCTCGAGGAGAAGGCTAACGATGAGGCCCTCAGAGATGAGCTCGACCTAGTCGAAGAGATCCGCTCAAGAGCAGCTCTCCGTGAAGCCATGCTAAAGCAGAAAGTTGCCCTTCGCTATGACAACAAAGTCATAAAACGTGAGTTCCAGGTCGACGACCTGTTCTTGCAAAGAAACTAGAAGAACTCGTGCAAGGGCAAGCTCGCCACAAATTGGGAGGGCCCTTACCGTGTCCCGGATAAGACGGAACACCGGACCTATTACCTCGAAAACTTACACGGGGAGGAAATTGCTCGACCATGGAACGCTGAGAAGCTCAAAAGTTACTACAGTTAAACACTGCCCGCGATGATCAACCTCGCGACCACGGGAGCGCAACGTGGTACAAACGCGTCTCTCAAAACTCAACGAGATGACAAGCGCCTTCCCTTTTGTGTGTGCGGGAAGAATGCTCTGTCCGACGGGGACCCCTCAATCAAGCTCCACCGCCACTATACCGAGATGGTAGAACACCCAGCTCGCGATAGGATGTTCACACCATGGAGAGAGGGCTGCGATCGCAGCCCGCACTTCGTAACCGACCAGGCAACAACCCCGGTCACCCGGCCAGTTCCCTACACTATCGGACAAAACGAGTAATATCGAGCTACTACTCCCACCAATATATAAATGTGCAAACAAGCATACAAGAACCCATGCAAACGAGCATACATAAACAAATAAATAGGTACACACAAATACTTAGCAAAAACAATAAACATTGTTATACAATCACGGGCACTAGCCCAGCTGTTCAGGAATTACAATAAAAGGGCACGTAGGCCCGATGATACATCTCAACAGAAATAGGCACGCAGGCCAAAAAATCAACACGAGCACATATGCCTAGAAATACTGAAACAAAACCTAAGAGGTCTCCTATCGCTCCCGCTCTTCCACCTCGGTAGTTGGGCTTTCGTCCTCATCCTCGGTTCCTATTGCTATCACTCGTCCATCGCCGACCTGGTGATAGGGCCTTGTCCCCTCGGTGGTAAGAGAAACCTCAGGGTTCACTATCCTGAGCTGCTCTACGACGCTCACATAGCCAACCTTGACAACCCCCAAGCAATCTTGATTGAGCTCCTGAATCTTCGCCACCAGCTCAGCCTGAGAGATCAGGAGTTTTTCCTTGTCGGTCACCTCCTCGACAAGACGAAGGGCAGCCTCTAACTCCGCGACCCGCGTCTGCAGCCTCAATCCATCCTCCCCAGCAGCCTTCAGCTGCTCCTCAGCCTCACTGTTCCGCTTGCGCTGTGCGGCGTTGTCCTCCCTGGTCAAGTCCAACTCAGCAGCCAACTTGGTCACCTTCGACTCAGCAGCTGCAAGATCCCCCCATAGTTTGGCCAGATCAGTAGAAGAGCAACCCTCGTTACTCAGAGCCAAGGCAGTCGAGAAGACACGCATCATTGAAGCCAAGTCCTCGGTCAGCCTTTGTCTCCCCGTTTCCCGACTGGCCTCGAGAACCGCTTTCGCCTCCGTGGCCGACACGGCAGGAGACCTGGCCCCATGGAAGAAACCAGGATGCAGATGACAAGGGGGAATCAAGAACCCCTCCTCTGCACCATCCTCAGTAAGGTCGACAACAACCTCTGGCCCATGGACCCTCACCCTCTTCGGAGTCCCTTGCGACAAGGGAGATTGGCTCCCCTGCGGTGACGACGAAGAACCTCTTCCTCCCTGATCGGCAGTGGGCTGCTGCTGCACCTGAGCCACCCTCCCTTTTCCGCTCTTCGACGCACACCTGGTGGCCTCTAGTCGCTTCACGCGCTCCTTCATGGTCGACATACTCCCTGCAAAACAAAAAAAACAAAGGGTTAACGAACACGAAAATAACAAAGCCCAAAAGGGGGCAGGCGAAAGACGACCCACTATCTAAGAAACGCAAGGCTTCCTCGTTCGACGAACATTCGAGCAGATCCCTCGTATTAATGAGCCTCGACCGCTAGAGGATATTCCCTTCACTGTCAAAGATAATGTTACCGTCGGGCGTCACGAGTTCTGTCGGGGTAAAGCTGGCCACTAGGGCTGGAAATGAGTCGAGTCGAGTCGAACTCACCTCAGCTCGGCTCGACTCATTAAGAATTGTTCGAATTCGAGTTCGAGTTCGAGTTTGACACGAACTTTTTTTTAAGCTCAAACTCGACTCGTTATAAGTTCACGAACAGTTCGGTTCGACTCGTTAGGTTCATCTCATTAGGTTCATCTCACATGGTTCACGAACTTAAAAACTATTTTTTTAAATATATATAATTTTTGGTATATTTTACATTTTAAATAAATATATATTTTTTAAATAAAATATTAAAATAAAATAAAAGTTATCATATTGAAATTTAACTTTATCTTTGAAATCTACTAATTCAAAACCTACACAACTTTCAAGAGACACATTTGAGAGTCTAATCAAAACTACTAAATTGAAGATTAAATTTGTCTAAGATTTGAAGTAAATATTTAAACCTAATCTTAAAGATAGTATAATTCTTTTCATATGTAACCGAGTTGACTCATGAACCTAACGAGTCGAACTATGTATAGTTCAAGTTCAGCTCATTTAGTTAACGAACTTAATTTTTCGCTCATACTCAACTCATTTGGTTCATGAACCTAGTTCATCGATTTAATTGTCGAGTCGAATTCCGAACTATCTTCGAGTTGGTTTGGTTCATTGCCAGCCCTACTGGCCACAAAGGCCACCAACCTTTGATAGCCTACTTGGTCCTCCTTGTCCAAGGTACCTGCCCGCACGATATAACGATCTGTGCCTCTTTTGAAGTGTTCCTCCATCCAGTCCAAGGGGACCCTCAACACCATAACCTCTTCGCTTTGCACGTTCACCTTCCGGGCTTCAAGGCGGAATAACGAGGCGCACGCCTCCCGGGCTTCATATGTGGAGAATGAATAAATTTTACATAATTATATTTTTTAAATATTATTTAAATAATAATATATTTAAATATTGGTAAATATTATTCACGGATATGTCAAAATTTACGGATATTCTTATGTCATGTACTCGCACGAGTGTGAAGTGGATATGAATATCATATTTATCCAATTGATTAATAGAAGAGTAATACTTATGTTCATGGGTACTCATTTTCATCCCTAATCAAAACTAATTTTTAAAATAAAATAAATTACTACCTCTGGTCTTATTTAAAAGAGAATATTTATTTTTTAAATTTATTAAATATTCAATGTATCTAAGACTGTATAATGGATCAGATACATTAATTTTCCAATATATCTAAAAAGTTAAATTTCTTTTATAAATAGGTTCAGAGAAAGTATTAATTAATAGTCTTCTAGAATATATATATATATATATATATATATATATATATATATATATATATATATATATATATATATATATATATATATATATATATATATATATATATATATATATATATATATATATATATATATATATATATATATATATATATATATATATATATATATATATATATATATATATATATATATATATATATATATATATATATATATATATATATATATATATATCACCCACATATTCACAAAAACAAAGAGAAAAGAACAAAATCAAAATGAGTGTTTTATTATCCTTATACTCAAGCTCAAACCTAATCAATATTTCAAAACCATACAGACACCATCATAACCTTCCACTTTTAAATAATCATCAAAGACAACCTCTTATAGTACAATTTTCTGTCTCATGCAGAGCCACAAACAATGTTCCCATTGATCATAAACTACTAGATGATGATGATGGAAACTTGTACAAGATACTATGCTTGAGTCATATAACTGCAACAATGGATGAGATAAAAAGAGCATATAGAACATTGGCTCTTCAATATCATCCCGATGTTTGTCATGATGGTTTGAATAAAGAGGAATCAGCGAGGATGTTTATAAAACTGAATGAAGCTTATAAGATATTGTCAAACCCAAATCTTAAACAAGAGTATGATTCTAAATTATTGGGTTTGGGTGATTTAAGAAGAAGTAGGTGGATGGAACAAGTTGTTGAGTTGAATAGAAGATCTGATACACGTATGGGTGATGCATCATCATCATGGGGTTGTAGAATGAGAGCGAAGAACAATATCAACAAACATAATCATAAGATCTAGTTTTTCAATTAGTTTACTATTCATGTGATTATTTTGTTGTATTTTCCCATCATAAATAGTGTTATTTAAACCTTCATAATTTGACACTATATATAAAAATAAATCATTTAAATCTATTGATTGAAAATCTAGAAAATCAACATAAACTTAGTTTTATGTTTAAATATAATAGTTAAAAGCACATATAGAAACAGAACTACGGGCAACTAACTAAAAAACAATAATCAAGGTCGCAACAACAATAATACTAATCGAAATCACATAAATCTTTATGCGATCGCAACGCAAGTGTTATTTAAAGCATTTGTGTTATTTAAACACTTATAATATTTTACTGTATAAAAATAAACCATTTATATCTATTGATTGAAAATGTCGAAATTCATAGTAAATTTAGTTTTATCTTTAAACTAATATGCATTTTATATTGCACCATCAAAATAAAAAGCACATTTCAAAGGATCATCATGTGTAGTTCCCCGCTGTCGAAATCTTCTTCCCACTATGTCACACTACAAGATACAATGTTCCCACTCTCTCAAAATTTCTGCACAACCACAACCTCGACATCTGTTTCACTCTCTTATTTTATTTTATTAATTATGACTATTTTACCATATTTTTTAATTTAGGGATTGATTTTTTTATTTTATTTTTTTAATTATGACTATTTTACCATGTTTTTTAATTTAGGGATTGATTTTTCCACCTTATATGCTGCTCACCCATCTTACAATGAAATTTCAATAACACTTTTAAAATCTGGAAGATGTAAAGGCCAAAAACAAATTTGAAATTGAAATTCGGATCCGCCCCTTACCACACCGCATCAATATCTCAAATTCAGACTAAAACAATGTTGAAATAATACATTTGAATGGATTGAAAATGTTAAGGGTGACAGTAACTATGTTTATCGAGTTTATTCAGTTTTGCTCGATAAAGGAGAGGAGAATCATACACATGTCCACTAACAACATATCAAAGACTTAAGGCACATAAAGAATCATACACAATGCTATACAAAAAAAAGAACATTTCGATGCAATTTATAAATCTATTATTTATTGTGTTAGCACTCCGACACTAGAGGAAAAATGGACGCGCTTTCCTAAAATGGATCATCTTATAGCAAGTGCATATAATAGGGTGTATTGATATGACAATATATGTATTCTCGAAAGTATTTTTCCACATCATAATGCCTTACCTCAAAATATAACCGATTGCATTGTGTATTTGGTGGTTTTCAAAACCACTACATTTTGTTCGAGTTTATTTGAAACCAGGATGCCCTATACAACGTACACCATCAGAGTGGAGTACATTTCACCATTATGAAACTAATGGTTCGATTGAGGTGAATGAGAAGATTGCGAGATCGACTGAAAATATACTGAAGATGTTGAAACGTCCTAAACCATCACTTGATGATGAAATGTAATGTTAGGTTTACGTTAACAATTATATATGTAATGTTACATTTTTAATTTATGACATACTAATGATTGATGTTAATTTATGTTAGTTTTCTATATTTGTTTATATTTATGTTTCTGTTTTATCAAGCACAATAAATTTCAAAAATACAATTTTCAAATTTTCAAATATTTTGGCATATCTGAAAATATATTTTTGTATTTGAGAAGTATTTTAAATTTTTCACAAGAGTGTGAGAGTAAACCCTAAAGGTGAAAAAGTAACCCTATTTTTAACCAATCTATTATGTGGGGGTAATGTTACCCAAATTACTAAGTTGGACAATAAAGTTGGTACTCTCAACATCCAACATGATTAATGAATAAGAATGATCTATAAATCATAGTTATGAAGGACTCTTTCTATTTCAACTAAATGTCACCACCTTTTAAAGTTGAAGTTTAAAATTCCCACGTTTTATTGTAAAGTTATGGTTGTCGCTACGCGAAAAATGACACAGAGTCGCCACCGGATTTTATTTATCCCAAGGAGGGAAAGGGAAATAGCGATAAAACCTTTGGAAAAAGAGCATGGTCATCGCAACCAAGTCTTAGGGTTCGAGAGTCGGTTATGCAAGGGGAAGGTATTAGCACCCCCTCGCATCCATCGTACTCGATAGGAACCTTCTAGGTTGTCTAGCGTGAATGGGTGTTTTATTAAAAGTGTGCTTGCTTAAAAGAAAAGAGGGGTTGGTTTTTATTTTAATGCTCGATAAGGATTGTGGCCCTTGTGCCTACGTATCCTCACTTAAAAGAAGTGAAGAATCAGAGCTCCGTAGTTCGGAGGCTTGTGAAATGGTTGTTTGTTGGTTGATTTTATACCTTGAAAAAGGGTTTTTGGATTGACGCCCTAAGGCGAAAAGAAGTTTGATGAGTTGATGTTATTTTTAGGTTTTTGAAAAGAAATTATTCTTAATTAGGATTACACAAAAAGAACTTTGGATAGAGATGAATGTTTCAAATAACCTGTTAGAACACAGATTGGTTCCTAGTTATATCTCTATGTTTTGATGATAACACTTACGAAATTTAGTATTAAGAAATTATATACTCTAAAATTTGTTCAAGTATTTTTGCGGCAGATATTAAATTTAATATTCTTCTGAAAGAAAAATGGATATGAATGTTGAACTACGCAAGGCTCTGAAGCGTCTGAAGCATCTCTTAGAAGACTCTGAGCGCTGCCTATAGAAGGATCTGAAGCAGAAGCTACAGAAGCATCTGAAGCGTAGACTGAAGACTGTGTATGAAGAGTTTCAAGCACTATTTATCAGAAGACTTTGATAGTACTGTTCGCTGCAAGTACTGAGGATCTGATCTCCAAACTCTGCTCTGATTAATTACACGCTGAAGCACACTTGCTGCAATACTCTGATACAACAAACTCTGAAGACATCAAAGACTCTGATCAGTCAAGGCTCTGATGTAGATTGTTGTGAATTAGAAACTTGTTGAAGAAGAATTCAAAGTTATATCTGTTGGTTATGCCAAACGACTCTTTCCTCATTTATGCTAGACACAAGAACTTAGGAAAAAAGGATTTCTCTGAACGTTCTACTTCTAGGAAAGGTCAAATGATTTGAAGACAAAAAGGCTATAGCTACTTTGCAGACACGGTCTTCAAGCTTGCAAACATCTTGGACTTCTGTGCCTATAAAATCAAGTCTTCAACAACATTCTAAAGTTGACGAAAATTGAAAAATTTATTTTAAAACTCTCTCAAAGCTCTGATACAAATTATTATTCTTGCTAAATAGTTTTCATAAGTTCTTAAACTTAAGTGTAAATCACAGTTGTGATACAGCTTTCTTAGAAGCATTCAAACACTTGTTTAGTTTTACATTTAATTGTAAAAGTTCCTTGAGAAGACCAAGTTATGGTCAGTAGTTCTTGAGAAGACTAAGACAGTTGTTCTTAGTGGTTGCTATTGTAATCGGTTTGATTAATAGTGGATTAAGTCCTTGTGGAGAAAGGCAAATCACTCTTGATAGGGTGGACTGGAGTAGTTAAGTTCAACGAACCAGGATAAAAATCTTTGTGTTTTTATTGCCATAATATTTTCTAAATCCTTATTCAACTCCCTCCCCCCTTCTAAGTATTTTCTCACCTTCAGTTGGTATCAGAGCTCCTGCTCTGTGTGGGCTATCACTTCACCGTGACAGAAAAGATCCAGTGAGAAAAATACTCTTGATATTCTTTGGTTGTTTTTATGGCTGAAGCTTCAACATCCAACAGCAACAACAGATATGAAGAAAGGGATAGAATCACACAAAACCCCCTATGTTTGATGGGGAGAAGTTTAACTATTGGAAGGACAGAATAGAGAGTTTCTTCCTTGGTTATGATGTTGATCTATGGGACTTAGTCATTGATGGTTATGTTCACCCCACTGATGGGGATGGCAAGAAAATTGATAGAAAATCTATGACTGAAGCCCAGAAGAAGGAGTTCAGAAATCATCACAAAGCTAGAACAATCTTATTAAATGATATATCTCATACTGAGTATGAGAAGATTACCAACAGAGAAACTGCATTTGATTTGTTTGAGTCTTTGAAGATGACACACGAAGGGAATACACAAGTTAAAGAGACCAAGGCTCTGGCGCTGCTCCAGAAGTATGAAGCCTTTAAAATGGAAGAATCTGAATCTATAGAAGCTATGTTCTCTAGATTCCAAATCCTCACAGCTGGGTCAAAAGTGCTGGACAAAGGCTACTCAACTGCTGATCATGTGAAGAACATCATCAGAAGCTTTCCCATCAGATGGAGACCAATGGTCACTGCTCTGAAGCTAGCTAAAGATCTGAACAAGATCACATTGGAGGAACTAATCAACTCTCTGAGGAGTCATGAAATTGAACTTGAAAAAGACGAGCCTCAAAAGAAAGGTAAGTCAATTGCTTTAAATTCTAACAAATCTGTGAAAGCTTTGCAGGTGTTAGAAGAAAGTTCTGAAGAGTCTTCTTCTTTTGAAGAAGATGAACTGTTCTGGCTGTCCAGAAGAATCAACAGACTCTGGAAGCACAAACAGAGGAAGTTCAACTAACCCAAAAGGACCCAAAAAGATATGGGTACCTAAGGATAAGATAATCCCTATTGCATATGTATTTAGCAGCAAAGTCAAGACGCCGGTCATGGTACCTGGACTCTGGCTGCTCACGTTACATGACGGGAGAAAGGTTTATGTTCCAAAGCCTGGAGCTTAAATATGGAGGAGACGTCAAGTTTGGAGGGAATCAGAAGGGCAAGATAATTGGCTCTAGTACTATTGGCAATGGTAACCTTCCCTCTATATCTAATGTTTTACTTGTAGAAGGATTAAAGCATAATCTATTGTCCATAAGTCAATTAAGTGACAATGGTTATGACATAATCTTTAATCAAAAATGTTGCAAGGCTGTTAGTCAGAAGGATGGCTCAATCCTATTTAATGGAAAGAGGAAGAACAACATTTACAAAATCAATCTTTCAGAACTTAAGGTTTAAAATGTAAAATGCCTTATGTCTGTTAATGATGAGC